ATATATGAATATATAATTATTATATATTTTTTAGAGCCTTTATAGAGCACATCATTTTCTTTAATTCGTATGATTTTAATTTTTAAAAATTTTTATTATTAATCTTAGGGGCAAGCTTCATCACATATGGGAGCTTTTTTTTTAAATAATGACACACACCTCTCTCCCTCTTCTATTCTCTCCGTTTCCTCGCGTTCTGCTTGTAGCTTCGCCTCTTCCGCCTTCCTCTCGACTTCCTGCCGTTCGGTCTCCAGTATCTCGCCAAGCTCGGCTTTCCGTTCTTGTGCAAGCTGCAGTGCCTCCCACGCTTTCCTCTCTTCCATTTCGAGCTGCAGGCGTTCCTCCTCTGCAGCTTTCCGCCTCTCCTCTTCCGACCTTCAAAATTATTCGCAGTTCGGCAAAACGAATACCAGAATGTAACAAGACAAATGTCGGGATAGAATATAAGTAAAATTATTTACAAAAAAGAATCGAAAGCTTGTGCCTTTGTATTAATTTGAACTCTGAAGTCTAAATTATATATATACACACACTTGATAAAGAAAGATTATAGTATTTTTATATTTGATTTGATATCAAACTTTAATCAACTAGTATCATCATAAATTTAGTTTTTTTTTAATAAAGCGCATATATATTTGCAAAAGTTTTAAATCTACATAAACTTTTGTCTCATCTCTATAATCTCTCAATCTATATAAAATTATATGCATTTTTTTCTGTATTAAAGTTATGTAGGTCCATAACAAAATTTGATAAAATTGATGCGAGAAAAATAACGTGCAAAACCACGAGTTATATTTAAATTTGCTAATTAAGAGGAATTACGTTGGAGTGTGTGTGTGTAAAAAAAAGTTATCTGCCAAATTTTTTAATGAAGCTCGCATTCCAGATTTTATGCGCATTTCTCGCATATTTCACGCGAAATAAGATTTTTAATTTTAAACCGCATAAATGCAAACTTTTTTTATTTTAACATACACGTGGTCCGTGGATAGTTTACTTTTGTTAGAATCTCCTATCAAACACTTTTGTAGCATTCACACACAGGATTGTAATTGTCACCGAGATGACATATTAGTATTATTAATTTAAAATTAGAATACTAAAAAGTAATAATTTTATAATAATAAATCATAATTTAATAATAATATTAATAAAATAAATTTTATTATTCTATATCTTTAAAAATAATAATCACATTGCAACTTAATAAGCACATACGAAAAAACGCACGTTAATTATTTATTACTTTTATATATCTAAAATAGGCTTTAAAAGCAAAGTTACACTTTTAATAATTGATTATTATATCGAATCATTTTTGATTAACCCATGTTCTACGAACTGTGGATGAAGGTCAGGAATTTGGCACTTTGGTTGTCGCGAGTTACATATATAGCGGGTTATTTGGCTGAGTTCAATGCTAATGTTATGTAAAATGTTATCCCGCATCTATATATTGATGATTAATTTATACGATTGGCACATTCGCAATGTGCTTAATTGATATATATCACTCTTAAACAAAAATGACTTACTGCGCTTCCCGAGCTACTTTAGCAAGGTACTCTTCGGCTCTCCTTATGGCATCTTCTTTCTCCTTTTTTACTGCAACAGGATGGTTTAATTAGAATCTCGATGATAAGGAAAAAATCTTACACAATACACAATGTATATTTCATCATTTTAAGTAATTTTATATCAGAATTTTATATATATTAATCTTATGCATCTGCTAATTTAAAAATCATTAATGTAAATTTTTTTATGTTATTTTTTTATGTTATTAAGTTATGTTGAATTCTTTTTGCATACGATTTTGATAAATAAGATATGGAACTATAGAGTTGTAAAATTCTGACGATCGGCGCATTCTCCGCGATTGGTTCCGCCGGTTCTGCTACAATTTCGGGTTCTTTTGCTGATTCCTGTGCAGGCTTGGGCTCTGGTTCTTTTGCTGATTCCTGTACAGGCTCGGGTTCTTTTACTGGTTCTGGTGGTTTTACTGGTTTTACTTCCGGCGTAGGTTCTGGTTTAGGCTCCGCCGCTTTCGCGGATTTTGTTGTCGGTTTTGCAGATTTCGAACCTTTCACCGGTTTCGACGGTTTCACAGACGTCTGCTCTACGACTGATTCCGTTTGCGGTTCTACCACCGGTTCCGGTTCTTTTGCAAATTCCAATACGGGCTCGGCTGCTTTTATCGGTTCTTTTGATAAATAAGATATGGAACTATAGAGTTGTAAAATTCTGAAGATACTGATTATATGTTCTATTTTCAATGATAATTCTGACGTAAATTTATTTCTTTCTTAAAACGTCCCCACAATCGCGATTGTCTACAATGCAAGTTCTACTGCACTCTATTCTTTTATTATTCGCAAGAAAGATTACTTCGTGTGTGCCTACTGACCCTTTCGCATCTCTCGTTCTGTCACTGGTTGACGGGGGCCTGTAGGGTACATGAAACGTAAAGAATCGATTAACGACAAAGGATTCTTTCGGATTTCATTAATTAAACTCAAGAAAGCGACAGAGGCTTCGCAGAAAACTATATTATGAATATTAAACGACATTATAGAAAACAATTACTATGATTATTATACATGTAGCATCGATATGAAAGAGAAGTGATGAAGCACACGTTAGTTAATTACAGATCACGTAGAATAGAAATACATATAGCAATACGCGCTTTTATGTACATATTTGGTAATAAAATTTTATGTACACATATGCAGCGAATAAATTACAATAATTAGTCGTTAACGAGATGGAAGCATTTTAAGGATTAAGGATGAATCATCAAGCTTATTTTCGATGACGCGGAATTATCGCATACGTCGATATTTTAATATCGATGAAATCGGTAATTAACGAGATTACAATTCTCGTTTTTTTCTGGTGAAAATGATTGTCACGGGCATCACTGAGCATCACGGTCCGAATTAACGTGATATACGATTAAAAATCACACTCGATATATTTAGCGGTAGACTTGCTAGATTTTTGTCTCTGAAACCAAATGGTTATGTGAAAAGAATATTTTACTACTAAATTATACGGTTAAATAAATCTTATATACTCCAATTCCTTCTATGTAATATTTCTCTAATTTGCATCGTTAAATTAAATTTGGCGTTGCATCAAAATTCAAGGCTTTAATTAATATTAAACGTATCTTGATTTTTAAAAATAATTTCTATTAAAATTTCTATTCAAAGAAATATATTATAGAACTCTTTTATATTTAAACATGCTTTTAAGCATGTTTTAAGGAAACCTTAAAAATGTATCAAGACACAATTTTATTCCGCAAAATATATTTCTTTTCAATTATTCTCAATCGATTCCACACATAGTGGATTTCAGAGGCAAAACGATGTCGTTGGTTAAACTACGAAGCACACGAAGAAGCTTACCTCGAAAACAGTGCATTCATTCTCGTTACGCAGCTTGCCTACTATTTCCATTACTTTCTCGTGCAAAGTAAAGTAATTAATTTGGGAACTTCCGCTTCTCTATCGGACATTATTATATTATTTGTCTCTTTTTTGCTATCTCGCAAATACGGAATAGAACAGGAGTTACAAAATCGAAACAGTAATGGACATCACGATGCAATTCGAGCAACATTGAGTTAGTGTCAACATTTTTAATTTTGTTTTTCTCTTCTATTATTAAACACGTACGAATTTCACGTTTTTCTCTGGTAAAAATCTCGTCTGATTCAATTTAATCAGTTTCTCTTTTTTATCTCTTTCTCTGTATTCCTTCTTTCGTGTTTGTTTCACTTCATAAATTGCATCGATTGAATACGAACATTTCGATAGTCGCGATGATTTTATTCCCTTATCGCAATTTCATTAAAGTCCATCGAATAAAAATCGAATGAAAGATGCTCAGAAAATACAGCACGTTCTATGATTATTGCGAATAACGGCACATTGGAGTTTAATGAAGTGGTCGACGAGCGCATGACCAGAATAGAAGAAAGTAAAAATAAAAAAAAGTGAAGACGGATATTAGATTTTTTCGATCGTGATTAATCCAGCAAACGCGCACGGTAAAATAATTCCGTTCTAAGAGAATTTTTGCCAGGCTTACGAACCGAATATAAAAGTATATAAAAAGCGGAAATAGATGGTATTTTAAATCTAAATTTTTTTTTCTCTCAGTTGCAGTGATCAAAATCAAAAGCGAAAATAAAATATTGATTGGTATTAAAATTGAATGAAATTATTCTAGCAGATAAATTGATATATATTTGCGTAGTTCCTATTTAATAAGAGTATTTTTTTAGAATAAAGTTTTATTTGAAAAAATAAAAGTGTACACAATTTAATCCAATCTCTCATATAGAGACGAAATTATATTTGTCTATCTAATTACAATAACAATTTAGTTTTACTGCGAAACAAAATTTTATTATTTTTTCTATCGTTATTTTTTATATATTTTTTTCTCTGATTAAGAATTTAGAATTAAGATTTAGAATGATAAAAATGTTACTTTTTCATGTAAATTGAATCGAGCGCCATACTATTTATAATTTTCATCTTTTATACTTTAATTCAGACTCCGATGCAAGACCCATTTACAATTAACTGAAGAATAAATTTTCTTTAAAAAAAAAAGATAATTGCTTTTCCGGTTCGTACTCCTGGCTTTCGCATGTCACATAATGCCTATCGTTCTATCCTTCCACGTGCGGACGCGCCACTTCCGGAACACAAAAGTGGATGGTATCGGCCACAGTTCGTACGATGATGAATGACGAAGTCACTCTTCGGTAGCGGCCACCGTCTCTTCCTCGTCTTCGCTCTTTTTGCTCGTCTTCTCATACAGCTCCGGCACCTTCTCTCTCCAACCTTTGCCTGAAACGTTCAAAAAAGCCGCACTGCTTCCTATCTGCCATTTGCTCTTTTATTCGCGAGCGCCGCAAAATTCTGCTTTTGGCGCGCGATCCCAGTCGCCTGATTCCGCCAGGAGTCCCCTTCGTGTAAATGTCTTGCTCTCTCTCGTTCCTTCGTTTTTTTTTGTTTTTTTTGGATTTTTTGGCTCTTGGTTTGTCTTTTTGTTACTGTGTCGTTTTACGCTGTGCTTTTCGGTTGCCCGATACCGCAAAAAATAGCGATGCGGCTGTTGACTCGTAAAAAATTGTAAACCGTCACCGAATCAGTGAATCGTATGGTCGATGATTGAATTTATCATTTCGGAAAAAACATGATTCGATCTTTTTATCGGTAAATGGAAAAAATAATTATATTTTCTCGATAAAATTATTCGTTAAATTTGAAAATATACCATTTATTTTATTTTATTTATAATAATTTGTATGAAAAAAATATCAATAATAAAATAAAAAACTTAATATTTTACAAAATCACGCCTTTTCCGTGAAGATCGATTCAATTGCACGTCCTTTTTGTATAATGATAATAATAATAAAAATGCGCTATCGCGATCGATATCGAAAACACATTACGGGTAGTTACAAAAATGCGGGGTACGGTGGGAAGAGTGGGTGTGTACGATTGCTTTTGTACGATTAGACACAATACTATCGAACAATAATGCAGCCACGACAAAAAAAGACGTATATACAAAAAGAAAATAATAAGGAAAGATCAACTGTTGTGTGACTAAGAAAAACAGCAAAAATACCAGAAAAACACACGTGCTCGTCAGCACAAACAAAAGTTCTCAGACAATGTGAAACCAGAGGTGTCAGCCAATCTAAAAAGAGGGATAAAAAAAGTAGAGAAACGAGAGGGCGGGGGCGGGGGCGGTGGAACGAAAAAAAAAGTAGACAAAAAGAGAGTTGCACACAACGGCGTCGTGGGGCCGTCTTTTATTTTCCCAAATCTATTAAAAAATCGTGTTTTTTTTTTTTTTTTTAGCTACGAGACCGTAGTGTAGCTGTTTTTCCAGATCTTATTTCCTTAATTGAAACGTTTTTCCCACAGACATAAATTCCTGCAAAAAGTAATCTTCCCGGTATCTTTTATCTTTTACAAAAACGATGTTAATTCTACTCAACAAAATTTTAAGTAATCTAGATTAATATCATAATCGAAAATACAAGATTATTATCGTCTGAGAGAGCTCTCTCTCTCGTCTCAATTTTGAAAAATTCTTTGCTACACCACTTTCTCGTTAGTCTCGTGCTCCTAACTACGTGCTTCGTGTATATCGTACAATGTCTCGTCAAATGGGACCGTCCTCGAACGACGTTTTGTTCTTGAAGAGAAACCTTTTCAAGACTAAAACGAGGATCGCAAGATGGTCCCTATTTTCATCGTTATCGTCGTCACTCGTCGTCGTCGTCATTGTGACGAATTACTTACAGGCAGTCGCGGCCGCCTGACGATTCTTGCTATAATAGCTGAGGAAGTTGACGTCGTTACGGATGTCGGACGGTCGTAGGTCCGCGACCTTGACATACGGCTTTCTGATAGATTGTGGCTTGCCAGCGACGTATTTGATGCACGCCGTGGTGCCGAAGGCGCCTCGGTCAGGTATCTCGTACCAGTTCAGATGTTCTACTTGCTTCTTCGCGTTGTTGCGGCCGGCGAGCAGCCGGCGAACATAGTCGTGGCTGCGCATACGTTCTGGGATGATCTCTTCGGCAAAGTCGCTGGAAAATATAAGAAAAGATCGCTAGTTATCTCGACGCAAAAGCGAGGAACGCTCTATTCCGTGACTCGAAAGCGGAAATCCCCGGAAATCGTGAAAAGTTGTGCTTATTTTAGAACGAATGTAAAAAATGTCGTGACAAGCAGAGAAAAAAGGATATTTGTATTTTTACCTCCGAATCGCAGAATTATTTTGATAATTCTTGTATTTCTCAGGATATATCGAGATATAATTTATATTATTAAGGCAGGGGGTTAGATATGCATTTTTTGGCAATTAAAGTGATCCAAGGGATTTCTGCAGTAGATTTTGATTAAAATTTAGTCATTTAATTAAATGCACATTATTCTCTTTTTGTCGAATACCTTGCTATCGCCCTTGGCACAAATACATGTACCCGTCGAAGAAGGGAATCCACTCTCGCGCGAATCTCCCTCGCCTCATCGTCAAAAAACTGTGAAAAAACATATGTGACATGTTACTATATAAACGAACCGCTTGATCTTTTGCATAGAACATAATCATGGTAATTTATGGCGAGAATGAAAGTTTTAAAAGTTAGAGATAAAATTCTATCAATTTTTATTATTCCTCAGATTTAATATAATTTTTTTTGCATTGAACAGAGGGATAAATTGAAATGTAGGATTCAAGAAAATCTTTATCCGTTCTTTCGGCCCGCTATATCACTTAAAAATTTATCTATCATACTGAGAAGACAGGCGAACATCTCAATCATTGCAACTATGCGATTCCGTTCGCAGTGTCCGACATATCACGATGATGATGACGATAACAATGAGAATGACGATGATGATTCATTCATGAATGATGATGACGTCTGACCACGTGTTCTTATGATTATGATGTCAGGCCAGTTTAGCCCGGAAAAAGAGAGAGAAACAGAGAAAGAGAGAGAAACAGAGAAGGAGAGAGAGAGAGAGAGAGAGAAGATAAAAAGAGAGAGAGGAGAGAAAAAAAGAGAGAGAGAGAGGAGAGAGAAAGAGAGTGATCAGGCTGAATCATGTGCCAGACTTACTATGTTGTCTCGAGAGTTTAAATACTCTTCGATGTAGGATTTGGTGGACGGTCTTGGTAGGTCACGTATCCTGTTGAGCTCGGCTGCGAGGATGCTAGGCCGCACGTGTGCCCGCACCCTTATCGAAATCCCCGGAAATCGTGAAAAGTTGTGCATATTTTAGAACGAATGTAAAAAATGTCGTGACAAGCAGAGAAAAAAGGATATTTGTATTTTTACCTCCGAATCGCAGAATTATTTTGATAATTCTTGTATTTCTCAGGATATATCGAGATATAATTTATATTATTAAGGCAGGGGGTTAGATATGCATTTTTTGGCAATTAAAGTGATCCAAGGGATTTCTGCAGTAGATTTTGATTAAAATTTAGTCATTTAATTAAATGCACATTATTCTCTTTTTGTCGAATACCTTGCTATCGCCCTTGGCACAAATACATGTACCCGTCGAAGAAGGGAATCCACTCTCGCGCGAATCTCCCTCGCCTCATCGTCAAAAAACTGTGAAAAAACATATGTGACATGTTACTATATAAACGAACCGCTTGATCTTTTGCATAGAACATAATCATGGTAATTTATGGCGAGAATGAAAGTTTTAAAAGTTAGAGATAAAATTCTATCAATTTTTATTATTCCTCAGATTTAATATAATTTTTTTTGCATTGAACAGAGGGATAAATTGAAATGTAGGATTCAAGAAAATCTTTATCCGTTCTTTCGGCCCGCTATATCACTTAAAAATTTATCTATCATACTGAGAAGACAGGCGAACATCTCAATCATTGCAACTATGCGATTCCGTTCGCAGTGTCCGACATATCACGATGATGATGACGATAACAATGAGAATGACGATGATGATTCATTCATGAATGATGATGACGTCTGACCACGTGTTCTTATGATTATGATGTCAGGCCAGTTTAGCCCGGAAAAAGAGAGAGAAACAGAGAAAGAGAGAGAAACAGAGAAGGAGAGAGAGAGAGAGAGAGAGAAGATAAAAAGAGAGAGAGGAGAGAAAAAAAGAGAGAGAGAGAGGAGAGAGAAAGAGAGTGATCAGGCTGAATCATGTGCCAGACTTACTATGTTGTCTCGAGAGTTTAAATACTCTTCGATGTAGGATTTGGTGGACGGTCTTGGTAGGTCACGTATCCTGTTGAGCTCGGCTGCGAGGATGCTAGGCCGCACGTGTGCCCGCACCCTTATCGGTACCATCGCGCCGGCATAATACACGTGATGGACCGGTGAATGGACTATGGTGACGAGCCTCTTGTGTGCCACGTATGGCATGTAAGGAACACTCCTCCACTGGAGGCAACGAACGTCTCGTTTTTACTAATCGCCCGGCAGCGGCGAGCTGCGAAGCTGATTGCTCGGTACAAGTCAAGATACCAGGCGATCAACGCGTTTGGTGACGGTTACAATATATTTTATGCGTAAATGTGTTAATTTGTAGACTGTCACCGAAGACGTGCAGAATTTAGGAAAAGAAATATTTATGCTTTCAATAATTTTTAAAATAGATCCGAGACACAAATATCCAATATGTTTGTTGTATAATAGTTGCGAGGAGAAAATTTAATTTGAGGCATGATTGCTGAAATATTCTCCGTTGAAAATAAAAAAATCGGGACAATAGTCCTCTCCTAAGTTTTTTACTAAAATAAATTAGGAAGAAAGTCTATTATCAAAATAAATTTATAAATTTTAATAATGTATTGCAAAATTTGTATTGTATGAATCAAAATTTTAATTTACATCATATTATATCATATATCAAAGATATACAATTAATAAAATATCTATTCTGAAAAAATTAAAAAATAGATATATTAATATATATGAAATTTTTTTATATTAATATAAATTATCGTTTGATAAAAATTACCGTCACCAAAAGGTTGACAATAGCAAAGCGTAGCGTTCGATGAACATCTCCAGTTATGAGCAGACTACATGATCGACACGCAAACAACGCACAAAAGGTTCCAATGATTAATTATATTAGCGAGCGTTGCGCACAGCGTTAAGTTCGGTGTATAATGAAGAGCATGGCAGCGCGAATTAATCAATGTGTTACATTACCTTAAATTACGTGCGATACCGTGAAGACGAATATTACTGCGATGAAGTAGCGCTTTAGGATTAGTAAACTTCGAAATCTGTAATTAATTAGCACGAGACGGTGTAAGAGCGGCAAAGCGTGTCATTACGTTTATTTCAAGAACCTTTCCATAAATTACCGACAAGTTTTGCATAACATCCTGTTGCCATTGAGGCAATAATACGCAATATATACATGGTTGATTATACATATATATATATAAAGATGAATATATAAACAATTTTATATAGTACATACTTATTATTAAATGAGATGCTAAGCGCTGTTATCGAACGCAAGCAAATCAAACGATCGATCGGCATTTCCTTTAATTAGATTTAAAGTTTCAAATTATGAATTTCAAAAATCTAAAATTATATAAACTGATTATAAAAACTACATTAATTATAATTATTAAAAATTTTATAATTTTTTACATATTAATCGACTTTATTAATCTTTAAGTACATTTTTGTACTTATTTGAAAAAGGGAAGTCTAGTCGATCTATTTATAGAATCGTGTGAAAAATGCCAGATGTAGATGAATAAACTCTGATTAACTCTATTTATGATTCAATAATTCTGAAACTTTGAAACGATCTCTGAAAAATTCTTATTTGTGCTCGAATAAAACTTTCAACAGAATATCTTAAAAAAAATATCTTAACTGAATTGTAACTACTGAATTTGCAAAGCAGGAATTATCAAATAAAGACGTGTTACTTGTTCGTTTCTTCAATAAAAAATAATAGAGATTAATTGGCTACTCTCGATTTGCCGGCTATGCGCATTCGTTTGCAATTTCGATACAAAATTAGGACAAGCCGGACGCGACGCAAAAATCAGAATCGACGATCGCACCTATTGCATTCTTAATGATAAAAGCAGCCGATTATTCGCAATACACTTCAATCATAATCCAGCAGCAAATGGAAATACCTACCTGAATGATGTTGGACAGCGGTATGATGATGGGTCGATCCTGTACGATCGCGCGTTCATAAGGGTAGCGATGTGTTTCAATCATTTTTAAAAATTTTTTATCCATCGAAATCCAACGATGAAGGCGTCGACGGCGACGGCGACGGCGGTGGCGACGGTGGCGAGGAACGAGGAGTAGTCACATGTGAGAGGCAGAATAAATAGAAAGAAGAAGAACAACACTCAGTTAGTGACTCAGATGGTGTGTGTGTATCGCTTCTTTTCCTCTTCGTCCCGTTTTTTTCCTCACTATTTCGTTTGCCTCGCGTTTGCTTAACGCTCTTTTGTGGCGTCTCGAGAGGGTTGATCAGAAGGGATGAAGAGAAGGGGCATTGGAGGAAGAAAAAGAGAGAAAGGGGCGCAGAAAATCTCGTATGCCGCGAAGAGTTTCTTTTTGTGATGTTTGAGATACCGACTTGGCCAATTGTCGCGTTGTGTGTCTATCGAGATGACGAACGACGAACGATGATGACGATGACGGTGATAATATTGATGATGATGATAATGTATCGTTGTTAGTCACGATTAGTAGAACTCGCTTCATCTCGCGAGAAGAAAGCAACTATGTGGAAAGCAGCTCTTCATAGTGTCCTGCGATGATGTTATATACAGTAACCATAATTTCAGGAGACAAGATAATAATTCTTAGTAAATGAAAATTTTCAGAATTATAAGTCTTTATTAATCGCTATACAGGCGCTATGATGATTGAATTATTGCCGAAATAACTCTTGAAGAATATACATTTCGAAAATTGACGAATATTTTGTGATCAAATTTTTATCAAATTTGACGAGAATAGATAACGCGAGAAACTTCTAAAGAAAATTATGAATAAAATTTTATTATTTCTTATATTATCATATCATATTTTTCTTTTATTACATTCAAATAATATTTATTTGGATATTAAGCGATTTATCCATAAAAAATATTTCTTTATTCGTATTGTATTAATCAGAACTTTTTTTATTTCCCGAGATTATGGATTGTCTTGCAATAGAGCAATAGATATCTCGTAAGACGACGCATCTTTGTAGAAACATCGGGATGACACAAACTTTCCGATTAACACTCACTAAACTAAAGATATGATTCATGAAAAACGCTCACTCGGCTATACAAAAAATAAAACATTCCCAAAGGAAAAAAGGAGAATCTGCAAGTTAGGAGAAGGCATTATTAGGGACTAAATACATAATTAAACACAAACAGTTGCACAATCCGCGAGATTTAGAATTCTTGCAGGCGACTTCCGATTCGTGATTAAATATCGACAAGAATCTTCACATCGATAAAATATATATGTATATAAAATTGATACACATTTTTTCAGTGCTATTTCAAGCAATTTATTGCGATGATTGCTTACAATTTTTGCGCTACACATAAAGTGCAGCAAGTTCGAAAGAACTCAAAATTCAAGATTTATAAATTTGAGTATACATACATTTTTGCGAATAAATCGAGAATCACCTGCAATGTGTATCGCTTACATCGATTATCATGAACTAATAAACTCGATTAAAATGCCAACACGATAAATATAGCTTGTTGATCTCGATATTATATAGCGCGACTAGCTTTTAGTATATTTCTAAATGCAGCGTAATCTATCACCGGCTCGGACTACGGTAATAGCGATAAATCGAGTGATAAGAGTTTTAAAATATTAGAATCGTTTTCCTGCCGATCCGTTGGTGCACATTTTGAAGCGCAAAAAAATTTCTTCATTTTTTTCAAAATACTTTTTTTAAGAAAGTCAAGCGTATAAAATTGGCGCGACGACAAAAGGGAATCCTATACCGGCGAGCGACAGAAAAACGATATTCCAATTTCATCAATACCGACGATCGATCCAAACTAAAATATCCATTTGAAACTTTGCGACTCTCAAATTATAATAGTTTTTATTTTTTATGTATTAAATGAATTTAAATCGATAAGTGATCTGGCTGTGGAAAAATACACTTATATGTATGATTCGATATATTTTTATGCATTTTTATCATTGCTGTCATTGGATCTAATTTTACAATCTTTTCCGAAATAAGATCTCTGTCGACGACTCGTAAGATTTAACTTTGTAGCCTTTGTTGAAAGGAAATCTCTGTCATGGAGACAGATGTCTGTTCCAACATTCTTTAAATGACACGACTCGGATTTCTGTGTGTTTCTCGCATCAGCCATTTTTATTAATACCAAAAGCGCGTGTTTGTGGCGTTTGCCAGTCTGTATTCGCATTTATACACGTTTTTAAATATGTCATCGCGAACAGATGTCGAAAAGAGTGACATATCGCAAAAATTTGATTAGTGTCCAAAATGAATTATTTATGTACATAATATCCTTGATATCTCTCACCAAAAAAAAATCGCCGATGTAAAGATAATCTCGAAAATCGTCGGGATAGATGAAGATGGAAATGCGATCGACGGGGGCGGGGAGGAAAGGGCAATTTTAGACCCGATAGGAGTAATGGCGGTAGCTGGTGCCGCCGGGCAGACGACCGGAACTGGTGGACTCGTAAGAGGAGCGGTAGCTCCCAGGACCGCCGCCGGACGATGTTCTGGTCGATCTCTCGGTCGAATACGAGCCGTACCGCTCTCCTGGGTGTAGCTGCTCCTCTGGGGACGGCTGCTGTACGGATCCGAGCTGGACGAGCTGCTCGCGTTGTTGTACGAATAGCTGTACTGCTCTTGGGCCGACCTCACCCCGGCTTCCGGATAGTCGCGGACCACGTAGTGGCGAGGCGTCTACGGATTCGGGGTTAGATCAAGGTCAACGAGACATGGAGGAGAACAGGCTCGCCTCTGGAAAACGGCGCGGCGTCTCCGTCGACGAGTCCCGGCTCGATCTTTACATCCGGCACACGATTTATTGCCGTATTATACGATTAAAACCGCGAAATGCAAAGTAACATAAATCCACTTTAATATGTTAACATTATATGAATTATTAATATCATCGCGTTCATCCATTCATTTACCTATTCAAGAGATTATCAATATAAAAAAATTGTAAATATATAAACAAGAAGATCACCATCTTGGCAAAATTATAATATTAGCGTTATGTTTAATGAAGTTTTATTACTGCGGCTCATTTTATGAGATATAAATTTCTACAGATTTTTTCATTCCTTCAAATCGGAGTGTGGATGTTGTATAGAAGTAACATATGTGTATATGCCAGGCATTATTTATCTCAGGACGACTCTCATGATTTTCCATCCGCGAGCCGCTAATGGATTTTCGGATCAGGAGATATAGAGGTTGTGAAATCTAAAGATCCTGATCATATTAGAGATATCATGATCGATTTATTCGGTCGGAGAATAGATTGAAAATATCTAGGCATCAATAAGATTTAAGTTATACGCAAAATGTAGAGCTCTCTCTTTGAGAATTAAATTTCAAATAGAGTAAAGCCTTATTCTTCATTCAATATAAAGAAGATTTTATACTTTGAAATATACGTGTGTGTATTTATTTATTTAATTATTTATTGATAAAGATATTTAATATTAAAAATTTAAAGTTGTCAATCGAAAATCAGCTTTATAGAATTCATAGAAAAAATGATAGTTTGTCTACTACTTCAAGAACATCTTATATAAATTTTTATTAGTCATATTTATGTAGGAGCTACATATTTTTTCCAGAGACACAATTTTGCCATAAATTTCTCTTTCTTCTTTCTTTCTCGCACGTTTATGACGAAATGCTCATGTTCCCAAAATATCATCTGGCTCTGTTCTCCGGCCGAGAGAGGAGAGAGGCGTGGAAGGTGGAAGATGAGCGGACAGGTGCACCGCTGCGTCGTCTGGCTTGACGTTGACCATAACTACTTGCGGATAATTAATTCGCGGCGCGGCGAGTGATGTACTCGTTCGTTTTATTCTAAGAGAGAGATTTGCAAAGCCGTTTTTCTTAGAGGATGTTCGACCGATAATGCCGTCCAGATGGCCGGCTGGGCTCGCGGCCAGATAAGGAAAAAGTCTGGCGAGATCCAGACGACGCTGAAATCCAACGTTTCGTTGGACTTTCATGAGCGCGATTAACCCTTCGCTGTGTATTATATCGCGTGATATTCATTATTTCGCGTCAGCTGGATGGGTTTCCACCATTCGTAGTTTGAACTTTCGCGTTGTATAATTAAAATTTTTGAAAATGTAGTAAATGAGTTCATTTTTTTTCAAATTGGAAATGTGATCTACGTCTCTCTCTAAGGTGATACAAATATATTTTAACCGTATATATATTTAATTAATTAATTAGTTTCACACCGCTCGCATGATTCTAATAATAGTTAACGTAACAATCGCGAGTTACAATGCAAAGGATTAACAGACTCAAGAGAGAAGGGAGATACATGATGATGAATAGTTTACTTTCCTACATAGAGGCAAAAGTATGATGGATCTCGACGACATGTTCGCGCTAATAACATGTATCTGTAGACACACAACGTGCGGGCCAATTATAAACGCAGAGCTGTATATAACGTATGCATTTTTTAATAATGTCTCCTTGCCGAAATATTCAGGACACTCCGAGCGTTGGGCAACGCTCGGAATACGCGCCCTTGCCAAGAAACGCGTGGGTAACATTACGAGTGTATGTATGTGTGTGTGTAACGTAACGTGTGTATATGTTGCAGACATCTGTCCCGCCACGTGTGCACTCGGTATCTCGTTTCGAACCTTCTTGGAGCGCGAAACTTTGTGGCGGATTGCGCGTTCACGCTTCATTGAATTTAATTACGGTTAAATTGGAGTCGCTCGATTAATCGAATACGTTCTCTCTCACGATTGTGTTTGGCACGGAAAAGGATTTAACTCCAGATTCACATGCGATACACAAAACTCGGTTAATTTGACAACGAACGGGATCGAATAGCTGTGGATAAATGAAATGACTTTAGTTGTAGTCGAACTGCAAATCGTGTTTTTTTATTCAAGTTTATAAGAATGTGTGAAGAATGGGATTTTTTGTATTT